GTATAGGGGCTCCTGGGTGGCTCAGTCATTTGAGTATCCGACTTCAGTTCAGGTCATGATCTCACAGTTTTGTGAGTTCAAGCCCTGCATCGGGCTCTCTGCCCCTCCCCCGCTCTTGCTTTCAAAATAAATAAACATTTAAGAATATAAATAGATAAAAATTTTATAAAACAAGGGCACCTGGCTGGCTCAGTCAGAGGAACATGTGACTCTTAATCTCGGGGTTGTTACTTCTAGCCCCACATTGGGTATAGAGATTACTTAAAAATAAAATCATATTTTTAATTTATTTTTTTTAATTGTTTTTAAATGTTTATCTTAAAGAGACAGTGTGTGAACAGGAGAGGGGAAGAGAGAGAGGGAGACAGAATCCAAAGCAGGCTCAACGCTCCAAGCTGTCAACACAGAGCCTGACAGGGCTCGAACTCACGAACCGTAAGATAATGACCCGAGCCAAAGTTGGATGCTTAACTGACTGAGCCATCCAGGCGCCTCAGAAGTAAAATATTAACATATATGTATATGAAAAAAAAAATTAATAGAACTAGAAAGTGAAAGAGACAAATCCATTTTCCTAAGTAGACATGTTAACATTCCTCTCTCAGTAATTTTTGGAACAAGCTGACAAATCAGAAAGGATATTAATGATTTAGATAACGTGATTAAACAATTTGACTTAATGGCATACATAAAACACTACGCTCAACTGCATAAGCTACCATGTTTCCAAAGTGCACATGGAACACAATATAAATCTGGAAAAAAAAAAAACTGCAAACTTTTTCATTGTTTATTTTTAATTTAAACTATATCTGAAACTAAGACACAAAGGAAAGACCCTTACAGTTCTTCTGTAGGAATACTTATGCTTAAGTAGGAAACACTGAATGATGTTAGGATTTTCTACTTTGTTTTTCTTCAACAAAGAATAGGTTACATACAGAGCAGGTCTGCCTGTCTCTTTGAACATGCATACCATTTCCAGATAATAATCTGGGATTGGGTTTAACAAACCTGGCTGATCATAGGAATCACCTGTGAAGATTTTTTAAAAATAGATTTCTGGGTTCCACCACCTGGAGATTCTGTATTTTGAAAAGGTAACTGGGCTGATACCAAGTATTGAATGGATTTAGAAGTTACTGTAATGATGCTGTACTTGTCATATGGAGGGGAGGAGTGTGGAGAATATAAGAATATATGAAAATGTTATAAGAATGAATGAATTTGGGATAATAATTAGGTCAGGGCTGGGTGGTTCAGTGGCTGAACCCCCCCACTGCATAAGGCAAGAGGCATATATGCTTCTAAAAGTTTTATAAACATGAAAAGCAAGCACATTTGTATAAAATATCAAAGAAAAAGAGCTGTTCTCTCTCATTTTGTAATTTATTTTTTTCTTTGAAAAAAGAAAATTTAATGTTTATTTATTTTGAGAGCTAGTACAAGCAGGGGAGGGGCAGAGAGAGAGGGAGAGAGAATCCCAAGCAGGCCCAATGCAGGGCTCAAACTCATGAACCATGAGATCATGACCTGAGAGGAAATCAAGAGTCAGACACTTAACCAACTGAGCCAACCAGGTGCCCCTTTCTCTGCTGTTCATATTCAGTGACCATATTCGGTAACTTTCTTTACACAAAGAAAGAGGAGGGCTATTCTTGGCAGTAGATGTGATGGCAGACATATTTGTTTTTATTATAGCTATTGGTATTTTCCACACACACTGTACTTTTGAATATAAACTGAACTTGTCTTGAGTTCATATGGCCAGCAGAGACGAATATGTTTGAAGATATCCTGATTTTACTGTTTTGAATATATAAGAGAAAGGGGACACATAAATCCATTGTATATAAGGAAGAATTCAAAGGGATGAACTAAGTTCTACCTCTGAAAGTGGTTAGGCACCTGGCAAGATAGACAGTAAGCCAGATTGGCTGTTTCATTCAAGGACTTGTCTGTGAATCCACTCTCACCTAAAATTCCTGAAGATTTCTGGCTGCTTTTCCTTGTAAAAAATAGCACCTAGCACTCATGTCTTCTTTCATATTGTTAGTTGTTTTGTTTTTTGAGTTTTTATATTATCTTCCTTAGTGCTTTTAATCAAACAAGCATTTTCCTGTGTGTCATTTGGAGCTGAGTGAAGTTCATTCAGTAGGTGGGTCAGCAGGACATTTCAAGTTTCAGTCTCTCCTTGCCTCTAGCAAGTAAGGAGACTATGGACAGCTTATGGTACTTAGCTCCATTTCTGAAAGTGTTATCATTAACATATGTTAAATATTATATTGTATGGTATATCTGAAATGTCTTGAGGTCTCATTGACATCTCATGATTGGGAGAATACGGTCTTAAAGCATTGGCTCTTCAAAGCAACACCACGTGGGGTGCCTGGGTGTCTCAGTCAGTTAAGCGTCCGGCTTTGGCTCGAGTCACGATCTCGCAGTTCGTGGGTTTGAATCCCACGTTGGGCTCTGTGCTGATAGTTCAGAGCCTGGAGCCTTCTTCGGATTCTGTATCTACCTCTTTCTCTGCACCTTCCCCACTCATGCTCTGTCTCTCGCCCTCTCACTCTCTCAAAAAAAAACATTAAAGAAGCAACACTAGAGGCGCCTGGGTGGCTCAGTTGGTTAAGCGTCCCACTTTGGCTCAGGTCATGATGTCACCATTCGTGGGTTCGAGTCCCGCATCGGGCTCTGTGCTGACAGCTCAGAGCCTGAAGCCTGCTTCAGATTCTGTGTCTCCCTCTCTCTCTCTGCCCCTCCCCCGCTCACACTCTCAGAAATAAATAAGCACTTTTATAAAATAAAAAATAAGCAAGCAAGCAACACATGTATTTGCCCATGTGCCACCTCTGGGGCTCCATCCCAGGCACCACTGGGGGAATTTCTGTCACAGGAGATGTTCTGATGTCCGTGGCAAGTAAACTTATAAAAATATGGTCCAGCGTTAGAACAATGAGATTCTCTTGCATATCATGGAAGTAATTAAAGTAGTAGAAACTCAGGATGTGTTCAAGTAAATCCTGTACCTGAAGAAAAGAGGCTCTGTCCTCTCCTCTCAATCTGTTGCACTTCAGTAACCAGGACCCTGGTTTGCCTGTCATCAATACACAGTCAAATAATGCATCTAGCAGTCACTGCTGCACTCTAAACATGACAATTGTGTAAAGTCTGACTTTCATCAGCAGGCTTCCCTAAGACTCCCGTTTATCAACCAAAAAAGATTGAATTTTGCAAGTGTTTCTTAACAAAAAATTAGTGCTTGTTGATTATGTATTTTCTTTTATGAAAAAATATCTACAGTATTAAAGGAAATAATTTTTGAAGTGCATATGTTATGCCCGTTTATCCTCCCCAAGAAGAGCGTTATTTGCTTCAGATGTGAAATTGTGTACAATAAACATGTTAACTTATTACATGTGATAATATACTGTGTGGTCCTTGATGTATTTCTGTAAAGTAAAGGTTCCACTTTAATTTCAGGATGGTTATTCCACATGACTCTTTTTTTCTTCTCCTCTAGACTTCTCCAGAGAACCCTGGGACAGTAGGTGGAGTGCAAAGCTGTATTGTGTTGCCTTCCTGCTTTTTTTGTTGCTTTCCTGCTTTTATTTTTTTCTATTATTATTATTATTCTTGGCCCAGTCTTGGCTGCTCCTTTTTCTGCCACTAAAGCTAACTAACTAAAACCCTGCATGTGTGGTCATTATGAGAAACTCATGGCCATTCGTTTCAGTCCTGCACATACACCATGTCAGTTATGTTTCTTGTCATATCCTTAAGATCAGGATTGTCCCTAAAGCAATATTGTCATAGGCAAACTGGAATCTCACCTCTGATTTCCAAAAAGATTTCATTTAAAAAGAATTTTTTTAAGTTTATTTATTTATTTTGAGAGAGAGAGAGAGAGAAAGAGAGAGAGAGCACGAGCACGAGCAGGGAGGGACAGAGAGAAAGGGAGAAGATTCCAAGCAGGCTCCAAACTGTCAGTGCGGAGCCTAGTGTCGGACTCGAGCTCACAAACTGTGAGATCGTGACCTGAGCTGAAACCAAGAGTTGGACACTTAACTGACTGAGCCACCCAGGAGCCCCAAGATATTTCTTTTTTTTTTTTTTTTCATGTTCATTTATTTTGAGAGGGGTGCAGAGAGAGAAAGGGAAAGAGAGAATCCCAAGCAGGCCCCATGCTTTCGGTGTGGAGCCCAACGCGGCACTCAACCCCTCAAACTGTAAAATCATGACCTAAGCCGAAATCAGGAGTCAGATGCTTAACCAACTGAGCCACCCAAGTATCCCCAAAAAGATTTCATTTTCAAGCACTCTCTCTGTAATGCTCCAGGCCCCGTCCAGCGCTCCAAACGTAGGGTCTTGTGAAGGAAGAAAATAATCTGAAAAACAGATACAAGTAAGGTGTTAACACTTACTGTGTTACCCCCTCTGAACTGTTAATGTCCTGAGAGAGGAGGGCAGAGGGAGTGAAGTGTTTAGTAGAGAATGATGACTCCCTCACTAAAGATGGAACCCCCTGCTTCAGTGACATGGGAGGCAGTAATGTTAGCTGGGGAGGGCCTCCCCCATGCCAAGAGGATGACAATGGCAACAGCAATAGGCCGCACTGGGGCCAGATCTCATGCATATTGAAAAGACATCCACATTTGTGTGTTTGTGTGTGTGTGCGCACGCATGTGTGAGTACGCACGCCTTTAGAGGTTTTGAGCTGGTTATGATCATCTCATTGAATTTTTGTCCTAAAATGATGTCAGCTTGGTTTGGTTGTTTTTCCCTGTTAGTTATTTATCTGTTACGGATTTTGATGTTTGGTGTCCATGTGATGATGTCCAGGAATCTGTCTGCATGATTGTTTATCATTGCTCTGATCTTTTCCAACTACCACAGGAAGAGAGGGGAAGGGACCTTATAGAAATTATCCTGAAATAATAAATTGGCTGTTCCTTTCCCTGTGTGCCTTTCATCGTATCACAGAAGAAGCAAGCCAGCCCACCGCAGACCCAGGCATGGTCATGGACAGTGTGGAAGCAGGAGACATGACACCTCCCACCAAAAGGAAGAGCAAGTTCTCAGGCTTTGGCAAAATCTTCAAGCCCTGGAAATGGCGGAAAAAAAAAAGTAGTGATAAATTCAAAGAGACATCAGAAGGTGAGGTATTAAGATTTAAATATATGTTCTGAGTTAAAGAGTTTCTTATTTTAGAAGTACCTAACTTTTTCATTCTCTTCCCAAGCTATTAGAACCCCCTATTTGAAGAAGGAATTCAAGCTTTTAGAAATAAAACCCAGCGGTCACTCACTAAGCCTTATATACTGTAGCCTCATCCTCAGATTGCTATTTTAATGGGCTTAAAGTTTATCAAGTGATGAATAAGGATAGTTCCTTTTGGAAATGCTGCTTTCCCAATAACACAGGATATGAAATAAATTAAGTTTAAAGTTGAAGTTAGTTTTCCTGTTCTTTCTTTCCAGAAGATAGAAAATTGAACCACATTATTCTTGTGTCTGTCAAGTTAGAATGCTTAACGTTCACCTTTAACTGCCACATTGCTGAGTGTTTTCCAATTTAATGTTAGTTTTAGAGCGGAAAATATCTATGCGAAAACCGAGAGAAGAGCTGGTTAAAAGAGGGGTTCTTTTGGAAGACTCTGAGCAGGGTGAGTTTGTAAATAAACTACATATGTCTGTCTCTGTACACTTGTTGTTTGATCCTGACTAGGTATTTGAATTTTCTTTTGTTATTGATATTGTTCGGAGGGAGAAGAGATTCTTTAAAACTGTTCATGCATCTGGAATTTTTTTTTTTTAATTTCTATAAAAAGAGAAAAAACAACTCAGTGAAAGAATCTCCAGAAACACTGGACAGTTCGCTAAAGAATACATACAAATGGGGGCACCTGGCTGCCTCAGTCGGTGGAGCATGCAACTCATGATGTCAGGGTCGAGTTCCACCCTCATGTTGAGCATAGAGATTACTTAAAAAAATTTTTTTAATAGTTTAGCCTAAACTACCTATCCGTGAAACCTGGAGGTATGCATACCTATGTGCCAGCAGGTCCAGAACTTGGTATATACTCAACAAAAACATGTATACATGGGTATCAGGAGAACATATACATACAAATATGCTTGTAGCAGCAATATTTATTAACAGTAGAACAAAATTGGAAAGAATCCAAATGTCTACTGATAATAAAACATAAAAACAATTTGTGGAGGCGCCTGGGTGGCTCAGTCGGTTAAGTGTCTGACTCTTGATTTCAGCTCAGGTCATGATCTCATGATACCTGAGATTGAGCCCTGCGTTGGACTTTGTGCTGACAGGGCAGAGCCTGCTTGAGATTCTCTCTCTGTCCCCCTCTTTCTGCCCCTCCCCTGCTTGTGCTTCCTCTCTCTCTCTCAAAATGGATAAACATTTAAAAAAAGAATATCCAATAGAAGAAAAGATGGTTTCTTCAACAAATGGTGTTGGGAAAACTGGACAGCTACATGCATAAGAAAGAAACTGGACCACTTCCTTACACTATACATAAAAATAAATTCAAAATGGATCAAAGACCAGGGGGCGCCTGGGTGGCTCAGTCAGTTGAACATCCAGCTCTTGATTTCAGCTCAGGTCATAATACCAGCTTTGTGGGATCAAGCCCCGTGTCAGGCCTTGCAGTGAGTGTGGAGCTTACTTGGGATTCTCTCTCCCTCTGCCCCTCTTCCTGCTCATGTGCTCATCCTCTGTCTCTAAATTTAAAAAAATTAGAAAAAAAAAATTAAATAAAAAAATGGAATAAAGACCTAAATGTGAGACCTGTAACCATAAAATTCCTAGAAGGGAATATAGGCAGTAATCTCTTTGGCATCTCCTATAGAAACATTTTTCTAAATATGTCTCCTTTGGCAAGGGAAACAAAAGCAAAATTAAACTATCGGTACTCCACCAAAATAAAAAGCTTTTGCATGTTACAGGAAACTGTCAACAAAACAAAAAGATAACATGCCAAATGGGAGAAGATATTTGCAAATGATATATTCAGTAAAGGGTCAATATCCGATGAAATATATAAAAAACTTCTACAACTCAACACCAAAAAAAACAAATAACCCAGTTAAAAAATAGGCAGAAGACATGTATAGACATTTTTCCAAAGAAGAGATACAGATGGCCAACAGATACAAGAAGATACTCAGCATCACTAATCATCAAGGAAATGCAAATCAAAACCACAATGAAATAGATACCACGGCATACCTATCAGAATAGCTAGAATCAAAAACAAGAAATAACAGGTGTTGGCAACGATGTGGAGGAAAAGGAACTCTCATACACTGTTGGTGGGAATATAAACTGGTGCAGCCACTATGGAATACAGTATGGATGTTCCTCAAAAAAATAAAAATAGAATTACCATATGACCCAGTAATTCATTCATCTACTAGGTATTTACCCAAAGAAAACGAAAACACCATTTCAGAAAGATACATGCACCTCCATATCTATTGCAGCGTTATTTATAATAGCCAAGGTATAGAAACAAATGTCCACCCATTAATGAATGAATAAAGTATACACACACATACAATGGAGTATTAGCCATTAAAAACAAATGAAATCCTGCCATTTGCAGCAATGTGGATGGATCTAAGGATATAATGCTAAGTGAAATAAGTTAGAGAAAGACATACCATATGATTTCACTCATATGCGGAATTTAAGAAACAAATGAACAAAGGAAAAAGACACACAAAAAACTGACTCTTAAATATAGAGAATAAATTGGTGGTTGCCAGAGGGGAGGTAGGAGGTTGGGTCAGTGAAATAGGTGATGGGGCTTAAAGAATACACTTATCATGATGAGTAGAGTATAGAATTGTTGAGTCATTATATTGTACACATGAAACTAACACTGGATGTTATTTAACTTGAATTTAAAAATACATTAAAAAAGTTTTTTTAAAGAACTTTCAGGGGTGCCTGGATGGCTGAGTGGGTTGAGCATCCATCCGACTTTGGCTCAGGTCATGATCTCACAGTTCTCACATAAGTTCGACCAACCCACGTTGGGCTCTTTGCTGTCAGCACAGAGCCCACCTCACATCCTCTGCCCCCTCTCTCTGCTCCTCCCTCACTCGCAGTGTGCCCTCTCTTTCTATCTCTCAAAAATAAGTTTATTTACTTAAAAAATAAAAGAGGGGTGCCTGGGTGGCTCAGTCGGTTAAGTATCTGACTTTGGCTCAGGTCATGATCTCATGATTCATGAATTCAAGTCCCGCTTGGGGTGAGCTCCTGCCCTGCTTCGGCTGAACCCACAAGTCACGCTTCGGCTGAGCCCTGCTTTTCTCTCTCTCTCTCTCTCTCTTTCTTTCTCCTTCTCTCCCCCTCTGCACCTTGTCAGATTCTCTCTGTCTCTCTGCCCCTCACTCATTTGTGTTCTCTGAATGAATGAATGAATGAATGAATAAATGAATGAATGAAATTTAAAGTAGACAATCCTAAATAAATAACTTGAGAGATAACTGACCACTTTTGCATATATTTTCCTAGCACATGCTGAGTAGAAACCAATTAATAATGTGTCTTAACCTTTCACTGTATGGTTTTCAAAAGTAGCAGTCTTTTTTGGCTTTGAAATGAGTCCTTGGTTTATAATCTAGAAATCCTATTTTTGTTAAAGCTGGGCCGTATTAACATAGTGGCAATTTACTGCATTTGCATAGTTGTCAATTTGCTACCTTGCCTGTTTTATTTTTTTTTTATTTTTTAATGTTTATTTATTTTTGAGAGAGAGAGTGTGAACAGGGGAGGGGCCGAGAGAGAGGGAGACACAAGATATGAAGCAGGCTTCAGGCTCTAAGCTGTCAGCACAGAGCCCGACGTGGGGCTCAAACTCAAGAACGGTGAGATCATGACCTGAGCCAAAGTCAAATACTTAACCGACTGAGCCACCCAGGCACCCTGCTACCTTGCCTGTTTTAAAATAGTTATCAGAATACTTTAGCTTGAGAAATATATTTTCATTTAGCACTCATTTGCTGTAGCCTCTTCACTACTTTCAGCCCAAGCTCTACCTCTTACTGACACTGCATAGATAATGGTTCTGTTTAGTCTAGTAGAAAGTGGTGGGTTGGGTGAAGGAGACTAGTCTCTGAGAACTTATTTCTATTACTGCTATAAAAATCCAAATAATCTAGATCTGAATCATACACTCAAACAGGAAAGGGGAGAAAAGAGATAGGAAACGTTAGAAATCACCAGCTCTTCTCCCTGTCTGATCACACCAGTCCATCAGTCTTGCTCTTTTCTTTTTGACCTTGCAGGTGGTGAGGATCCAGGGAAATTGAGCCATGCCATGTTAAAGAATGGCCATACCACCCCCATAGGGAGTACCACATCTTCTAGTTCAGTCCAAGCAGATGAAGAGTCAGGAAGAATCACAAGTCTTAGGAAACCTGTCCCAGAAGAGGACCCAAAGAAGCGACTAGGTAAGAAACTCAATTTTTCAGTGTAAGAGCCATGGATCAATCATTCTTGTTTAACTCAGGGTTTTGCTAGAGCCAGGGGGGAAATAAAATCCAGAGGGAATTCTTTTCTCCTTTAGCAATTCCTCAGCTAGTTGCAACTGTAAGTGGAATTTTCCCCTTCTCATTCTTGCATTCACAAAATACCTAATTTGTAATTCTCAAGGACGGAAGAGAATGTTAAGTGTCAGATACCTGTAGGACTTTTTTGCGCTATACATTCCTCCTCTCCCACCTGTGGGATTCTGTGCCTCCTCCAGTTGCCCGGCCCTTGTGTGAAGAATCAGTCCCATACGGGCCTCTCTTACTTTGAGATTGTGATTGAGAGAAAGTGTCCTATACTTTAAGTATGTTGAGGTTGGGGAACTTGGCCTGTAAACGAATCTACACGTTAAATAATGGAGGAAGCTGACCACGAGTCTATAGATGTGTTAGCTTTTTTCAATCTTGTTATTCTTTTTTCTCTTTTAAATCATATCTGTCATTATTACACAGGCTCGACTGGAAGCCAGCCTGATTCCGAAGCAGAGTCCGTTCCTGAGAATGTACCCAAACAGCCTTTACTTCCCCCTAAAAGACCCTTGTCCTCTTCTCACGAAGCAAACGAAGGGCAAGCAAAGGATGCCACTTCCTCTGGCGGCGCAGCAAGGTCCATCTCCTCCACCTCCACTGCCGCCTCCACCTCAGCACCTGCCGCCACCACTCCTGCCACCAACCCAGCAAAAACTGTTAGTTCCTCTGTCCCCCCCTCCCCAGCGCCCAGGACTCTGCCTGCCACTCCTGCCAGCACTAACACTACTGCCACCCCGAGCCTCACTCATACGGTCCCTGCCAAGCAGCCCCCTATCCCTCCCCCTAAACCAGCTCACAGAAATAGCAACCCTGTCATTGGTAAGTAAGTCTTGAGGTTTCCGTTGCTCGGGTTTGGTTTGGTTTGGTTTGATTTTGGATGGTTGTTTTATTGGAAAACTGGTATAATATTGCTTTGGTCTGTGAGAGAGTTCTCCATGTCATGTCCCTTTGGATGCCCTCGATACGGAGAAAAGTCTTGAAGATGAGGCAGATAACTAGGAATGAAAACAGACAGGGAGCAGATATCACTAAAACTAAGCTCCAGTTTGGTCAGGAGTGGTGGGGAGGATCTATTTTCCTAAAACAGTATTTCTGAAATACGGTTTATAGTTGGGGGACTGGATGTGAGGACCACAACAGGTTCTGACCTGCGTGGAGAAAAGGGTTGTTTTTGGGTTTTTTTTTTTTAACCTACTTTAAACCACCAGCATCTGCCTTTAGCATGAGCCCAACAGATAAAAAGGTGATTGTATAGATGCCTGTGTAACTTATGATTCAGTGTCTGCCATGATACCTTCATGCAAACTGCAAAAGATATTATTCAAAGTGTCTTGATAAAATCATGTTTTTATCTTGGGAAGAGTCAAGAATGCTACTCTTAGTAAAATAAGTGGCAGAAGAAAGAAAACTTGGAAGATAAGCAGCACACTTACCAGTTTAGTAAATTTTTTTTTAAGTTTATTATTTATTTTGAGAGAGAAAGAGCTGGAGAGGGGCAGAGAGAGAGGGAGAAACAATCCTAAGCAGGTTCCGTGCTGTCAGTACAGAGCCCAAAACGGGGCTCAGTCTCATAAATTGTGAGATCAAGACCTGAGCCGAAATCGAGAGTACTGAGCCACCCAGGTGCCCCAATTTAGTACTTTTTTTTATATTTACCTGAAGTCCTGTTTAGGTCTGCTTTTCTATACATAATTGCAGACCTTCTTAGAGGAAATTATGAGAAGGGGAGGAGAGGAAAGAGGTAGTTTTTCAGGAAAAATAATACAAGGCTTAGTACTGCTTGAAGTTCTTGTTCGTGATTGAAGGGAGGAATAAAGTATGCTCGTTAAACAGTTAATACCGCCAACTTGTGTGGGTTGACAAGAACCCTGAAAAACAGGCTTAGAATTCATTGTGAGTATGACAGGTTGGAGTAGCTTGATTACAGAAAGGACGGTGGTTATTATTGTTATCACCAACCTAGATGGACAGTCTGTGTTGACTTATCTCTGAGGAACTTGAGCTGCTTTCATATACTTGGCTGTCAGAGCCTCCTTGTGAAGTAGGAAGCCGATTTTATCTATTATATGGTTAGGGCAATTATAACATGAAGAACTTGTGACTCACTCAGGGTTGCAGTTAATGAGAAATAGAAACCAAACATAGGCTTTTCAGCTCTTGAGCCCAGACTTCTGTCCTGTACACTGATATTCTCAAACTGCTGTCTAGACAAGCTCTCTTCTCGATCAACCTAGAGGACTTGTGAAACACAGATTGCTGGGCCCTGCCCTTAGAGTTTCTGAACCAGTAAGTCTAGGGTGGGCCTGAGAATTTGCGTTTCTAGTAAGTTCCCAGATGATGCTGATGCTACATATATGGGGACCACACATTGAGAACCATTGCTCTAAAGCAGTAATACTTCACTCTTTTCGGGGTAAGACAATTATAAAAAATAATAATATGTGTACTGTAACCTGGGCTGAACCTTAGAGGCCATGCTTGGCCTAAGGTGAATAGCCCAAAGCAATAGGTCTTGTGACTAGGGGATCAACATCAGTCCTGAGTGGTCCTCAGCAGAAGGAGAAAAATAGGAGAGTTTTTATAAGTTTTTATTAAGGCTAAATAGCTATGATTTAAAGGACTACCCTTTATTCTGAAATTATGACCTTCCTAATTCTTTGATGTTAAAAAGCCATTTCTTTCCTGAAAGGATTCTGTTCACAAATGGTTTGCTTAGTATTAAGTCTTGGAAATATTAAAAATTGACAACCTGAGGTTGGTTGAGATTTTCATTTTAGTTTTATTGGTTCATGAGATCCAAACATTTGGAAACTACTGCTTTAGACATTGCTATGTCTACTGACAGGCATAACAGTGTTAGGACTAAGAACTAATTAGGACAGAGGGAGGACCATCATAAATAGCTGAACAGATGAAGGGAATTTTGTAACCCCTCCAATGAGCATTCTGGCATCTTCCCCTCAAAATTACAACCAAGTGTCCTTGCAAGGATAAATATAAGACAGTTCACTTCCTTAACATTTTGAGGTATGTGTGAGTATATATATATATATATATATACATATATATATATATATATATTCCTTAAATCACCAAAGATAATTTACCTTATCAATTCAAACAGTAAAATAATCAAATTTGGTCCCATCAGGTGTAGATTTTGTTGCAAATGGAATTTATAACTGCTATTTTTAGAGAGGCAACAAAAGTCCAGTCTACCCAAAAATAATCTCTTTCATTGAACCTAAAATTAATTTTTTTTTAATTTTAATATTTAAAAGTAATATTTTTTGTGTGTGTATGCAATGTTTTTCTAGAAAGTCTTTTAAAAATTTAAGGGATGCTTGGGTAGCTCAGTCGGTTAAGGGTCCAATTTTTGGTTTCCACTCAGGTCATGATCTCACGGTTCTTGTTTTTGAGTCCCATGTCATTCTCCACACTGACAGTGTGGAGCCTGCTTGGGACTCTAATCCCTCTCTCTCAAAAATAAATAAACATTTTTTTTTTTTATTTACTTAAGATATATAACACTGTATGTTATTTATACTGGAATTAAATTTTTAAGTGCATTTGGGCATTTATAATATATAAAAAGCTAAAGGTTATTAAAATAATATAAAGCTAGGGGCGCCTGGGTGGCTCAGTCAGTTGGGCATCTGACTTCGGCTCAGGTCATGATCTCAGTTCATGGGTTCGAGCCCTGCGTCGGGCTCTGTACTGACAGCTCGGAGCCTGGAGCCTGCTTCGGTTTCTGTGTCTCCCTCTCTCTGCCCTTTCCCCTCTCATGCTCTGTCTCTCTCTGTCTCTCAAAGATGAATAAACGTTAAGAAAAAAAAAATTTTTTTTAATAATATAAAGCTAATTTATTCACAATCAATTATGATTATCTCACATATTTAAATTATTTTCATAATTTAGCCTATGGGAAAGTAGGTATGCCTAATAAAATGTATATATAGTTAAAACTGAAAAAAAATTACTTATGATAAATGACATTAAAACATTATCAAATTAGCTAGCTTTTTACTTTAAATGCTACCAGTAGAGTGGGACTTAGGGCAAGTAAATTTTTATTTCAGGGGACCTTGAGGTATTGCTCTCTAGGTAAGACATCTGGAACCATTTGAAAACAAGTGGTGTGACCAAAATTAGGGTTTTGAGTGAAGGATGAGGGGTTGGTGATCAAGAGACATACTATTTAATTACTTTGCAGGATTAGCTCCTGCGTGATATGATGATCCATTTCTTAAAGGCCATTTGGAGCCCTCCAAAGGGACTTTGCTGACTCAAAACCTCAGTCATTGTGGGCTTGGGGGAATCACATAGGGGTGCATACTGACCTGATACAAGGTAGGAGCCTCTAGTCTCATAAACGTGTATCGAGGATCCACTGTGTGCCAAGCACTATGCCCACCTCTGTGGATATGCTGATGGAAACAAGGAACCTATAGTAGAGTGGGGAGTGCAGATGAAGGTTTGGGTGTAAAGGATAAGAGGTATGGACAGTAATAAGAATCACAAAGACAGTGGGATCAAAGACAGAGGGATCTGGAGTCTAATGATAAGACCTGGGAACTAGCTGAGCCCCTGCCTGTGTGTTGTCTGATCTTGGCAGGTCACCTAATTTCTGTGGCTTCAGCTTTTCCTTCTGTAAAATGGTAAAGATAATCTCCCGTGTAAGGAGAATCTGAAGTTAAGGATAGCAGAGCACTTTGATTTTCTCAAAGACCTTTGTATTTGCTATAAAAAGTCAGGATGTCATTACTGCTAATTTTATAATGCAGAGCTGGGATATCTAGATGTTATTATCTATCAAGCTGTGGTAACAATGCCTGATAGTGTTTGGGTTTTTTTGTTTTTTTTTTTTTTTAGGGCTACCTTCATGTCTAAATTTTTTAATGGCATTCTGTTAGACAAAAAACTCACCCACATTCTTTATCTCTTTATATTAACTTTATCTACCTCAAGTCATAAAAAGTTGTCATGTTAGAGCAAAGAAGTAAGAATTACTTTTCACCAGAGTATTAAGGTAGTGGTCTTCCTGCATGCCTGTACATTTATTAGGCTTCCTAGATACCTAAATACAAATTTCATTTCGGCACGCGATATCTAGGATGTGGCAAAGTCAAGAAATGGATTGGTTTGCCTAAAAGCTAAGAGTAAGCTCAGTTCTAATCTAGGCCTTAGGCTGGCCCCTCATTGTGAAGCCATCTTAAATTGAGGTGTTATTCTCTCTTTTCCAGCTGAACTGTCCCAGGCAATAAACAGCGGTACATTGTTATCAAAACCATCCCCACCTTTACCACCAAAGAGAGGCATTCCGTCAGCCTTGGTACCCACCTTGGAGTCTCCTGCCACCGCCACCGCCACAAAAGCACCATCTGATCAGAGAGAAAAGAGCACATGCTCTGTGGGCTCTGAACCACTGTTGATGATCCCACCTCTCTCTCCGTCCCCACCGCTGCCTACTCATACACCTCCTGAACCCCCACGGTCCCCTCCATTCCCTGCTAAGACTTTTCAAGTTGTGCCAGAAATTGAGTTACCACCGTCCTTAGACCTACCCCAGGAGGTTTCCCAGCAGGAAGATCAGAAAAAGGAAGTGCCTAAGAGAATGTTGGACCACAGCTTTGGAGAGCCCCATGTACCCTGTAGGCTGCCTCCACTCCCACTGCATATCCGAATCCAGCAGGCCCTGACCAGCCCGCTTCCCATGACTCCTCCCTTGGAAGGCTCTCACAGAGCTCACTCCTTGCTCTTTGAGTACAGTGACAACTTTTCTGAGGACAGCAGCACCCTAGGTCGGACCAGGTCACTTCCCATCACTATTGAAATGCTGAAAGTGTGAGTGCCTTTAAAGCTTGCCTTTTGTTTCCTCTTCTTTACTCTAGGTAGCCCTTCTTGGGGAAAATTGCTTATAAAAAGAAAATGTGAATAAATTTAAAGTAAGAATACTCAACAAATAAGACATGTTCTAAAGTTTGGACATTATTTACTCTGCTGATTTCTATAACATTGTTTGCACAGCAGTCACAAACATCTGTACTTGAAAATTAAAACCACTTTATTTTTTGTACATGATACAAGGGAGGCAGTGTAACAGGGTACTTAAGGAGCATTGATGTTGGAGTAAAATAGCTCTGGGTTCAAATCCCACCTCCACCTCTTCCTGGCTTGTAGTAGTGTACGTTCCTTAACTTTTCTGCTCTTGAGCTGTCTACCCATAAACGGAGTAATCCCCACCCATAGGCTTGTGAGGATGAAATTCGACAAATCTGAAAGTCTGGGACCTGGCACCTGAACTCGGTGGAGCGGGACAGAGAGCAGTCTGGAGAAAAAGAAGGGAACTCTGAAAGATAGCTCAGTGTTCCAGCCTCATAGACTGGACCTGGCCATTGTATTCTTTCCCTCATCTGTCCCCAGACACCTTGCCTTTTTAAAATTCCAACGATGTGTGACTAAAGGTTAACACTTTTTGGCCATTTGGAGATTTGCCTTGCTAGCTAAAAGAATTGTCACAGAGCTGTTGCGGCATACTGCTAATTAGTTGCTTCGCCATAATCTTTGTACCTGCGGGTATAATTTTTTTACTTCCTGGAAAGAGACCGTTTAGGAGTTCAAGATAGACTAAGTCAGTTTTATGCCTGCACAATAGAAAGGGGAGAAGTTAGTTTTCATCTTTGCTTCCTTGGATTAGATTATCATTTTGTCCCACTCCATTGTTAAACCAAGGGAAATAAATGGGTTAAATGTCTTTATTGCATATCTTCCATGAGCCAGATACAGTGTTAGATGCTCTGTGGTCTTCTCACTTAATCAGCCCAAAACAGACTTGAATCTCACATGTAGATCATTAGGGCCCTGTGTGCCAAACACTAATACAGTCTAGAATTTATCTGTTTGTCACAACAAGCCTCGGAGGTAAGTATCATTCACATTTACAGAAAAGCTAAATAACTTACAAGCTATGAATAAGTTGTAGAGCTAGGATTTAAACCCAGAGCCTTTTAGATTAATAGCTGCTAAAAAGTTTCTTAGCAAGATGGTTAAAGTTAAGGGAAGGAATAAATTTTTTCATTTGTGGAGTTTTCCATAGTTATTCAGTACTTTGCCATGCAAATCAGTTACCTGTTATGTTTCTGAAAGGAAAACATAATTATATTCATTTGTTAGTCCAGACGATGAAGAGGAGGAGGAGCAGACCCCCCCATCTGCATTCACTGAAGATGTGGCATCTACCTCAGTTGTTCCCAAACTGCCACGGTGTCTGCAGGAAGAGGAGGAAGAGAAGGAGAGTGACTCTGATTCAGAAGGTCCCATTCAGTACCGAGATGAAGAGGATGAAGAGGAGAGCCATCATAGTAAGAAAGGGAAAAGCACAGGAGAGAATTATTTTACCGATAGAGCTGCTCTTAGCAAATATAAGACGAATGGAAATAGGCACTCTCTCCCATCAGGTCATCTGGTAACTGATACTGGAGGCCATTGTGAAGGAGCCTTGTCCCTGCTGTTCCCACTGTTCTAACAAGGCAGTGAGAGGGAGCCAAGTAGATTGAGTCATGCAGGTTTTTATTTGTTTGTGATTGAAAAAGTATTTACCTTGATGGTATTAAAGAATTAGCAGAAGAAAGTTGGTATTTGAGCTGCATTGAAAAGACATAGTGATCCTCTGCTTTAGTCTCATGAACTTACTGTGTCCATGGGGCAAAGAAAAAAGTCCATGTTCATGTACGCAAATCTGCAGATAATGGAATCCTGATTCCTAAAAATGAGAAGGCAGCTTTAAGAATAGGAATCTTGGGGGTGCCTGGGTGACTCCTCAGACATTCGACTTTGGCTCAGGTCATGATCTCACGGTTCATAGGTTTGAGCCCTGCATCAGGCTCTGTGCTGACAGCTCAGAGCCTGGAGCCTGCTTTGGATACTGTGTCTCCTCTCTCTGCCCGTCCCCTACTTTTAATGCTTTAAATAAGCATTAAAAAAAACTTAAAAAGAATAGGAATCTTGGGGTGCCAGGCTGGCTCAGCCCGTGGAGCATATGACTGTTGATCTCAAGATCATGAGTTCAAGCCCCATTTTGGGTGTAGAGCTTACTTTAAAAAAAAAAAAAAAAAATGGGAATCTTAGGTGTGTTAATGCAAATGCCTTTGTGTTGTAATTCGGAGGGCTATCCCATGTTTAGATTCTTGTTCTTCTAGCAACCTTCTTTAGAAGGAACGTAGAGAAATGTAGAAGACAGAAGGTATCTTTAGCCCAACTGAATCCATCTGGCTAATTAGATTTTTAGAGGTCTTCAGCTTTACCCCCCACCTCTACATTAGCTGAGTTACCTGGAGGCCAAGTAGAAAGCTGAGAGTTGCGATACTGTTTGTTCAGACTCTTGCCTAGTTCCAGGTGAGGTTGGTTGAGCCTTAGTGTCTACTTTTTTTTCTTCCCCTTGTGCAAAGGTGCTCTGGCCAACAAAGTGAAGAGGAAGGACACACTGGCAATGAAGCTGAACCACAGACCCAGTGAACCAGAGCTGAACATGAATTCCTGGCCTCGGAAAAGCAAAGAGGAGTGGAATGAAATACGGCACCAGATTGGGAACACACTGATCCGGTAGTTCTTTGCTTAGAATACATGGATTTTATTTGATTTGGCCAGTAGGTGTGTTAGATACTTACTTTGTGGTGCATTCACTTCCCTTTTTTTCTTTTTTGATTTTAGAAACAGCGTAATTTTTAAAAATACACATTGTACACACTTGGATATCCTCTTGGAACTTGAAAATTAAGGAACCAAATGGCTCTTGGAGCTTTAAACCATGAGATAGACATAAATACGGCTTTTAAATTTTCTAGGGGCGCCTGGGTGGCTCAGTCAGTTAAGTGTCTGACTTCGGCTCAGGTCATGATCTCACGGTTTGTCAGTCTGAGCCCTGCATCGAGCTCTCTGCTCTCTGCATAGCCTACTTTGGATCCTCTGTCCCCTTCTCTCTCTGTCTCTCTTTGTCTCTGTCTTTGTCTTTGTCTCTGTCTTTGTCTTTGTCTCTGTCCCCCCACTGCCTGTACTCACACTCTCCCTCCCCCTCTCTCTCTGTCTCTCTTTGTCTCTCTCTCTCAAAAATAAACAAACATAAAAAAATAAAAGTTTCTAGAGAATCTGTCTCAGTCAGTAGAGTATGTGACTGTTGATCTGGGGCTCCTGAGTTCAAGCCCCATATTGAGCATGGAGCTTACTTAAAAAAAAATTTTAAGTAATTCACGTGGTTCCTAGGCCAGCAAGACTCCTCTGTCATGTATCCAGTTACTCAGCTATGAGGTGTCAACCCAATTAAAGATCACACCCATATTTTTCATTGTATCTATTTCACATGTTCCACGTATCTGCCTTTGAAATTTCAAAGTGTTAGTATATTTTTCAAGTCAGGTGGAACCAAAAGCATAGAGAAACTGAATGCAGGCCAGCTTCCTGCACATGTAATGTACACAAAGTCCAGGTATATAGATAGCTATTGGACCAACTCAGATGTTTCTCTTGGTAGAGTGAGGAAAAGGAAGTGGAACTCTTGGCATATTCTTAACAAAATAACTTAGGGTGTTCATTAATTGAGATCTATTCTTTCCTGCCTCAGACACCTGGCTTTGCTATTGGCCAGGATGGCAATCTTAATGCAGAACTGTGGCTCTCTGGGTGTCAGCAAGAGACTATCAACAATAGGAATTAGTTTAGAATGAGAATCTTTGACAACAGATTACTTTTTCCAGGGCGCCTGGGTGGCTCAGTTGGTTAAGCGTCCTACTTCAGCTTAGGTCATGATCTCGCACTTTGTGAGTTCGAGCCCTTCATCAGGCTCTGTGCTGACAGTTCACAGCCTGGAGCCTGCTTCAGATTCTGTGTCTTCCTCGCTTTCTGCCTCTCTCTCTCTCTCTCTCTCTCTCTTTCTCTCTCTCTCAAAAATAAACATTAAAAAAATATTTAAATATTTACAGGTAAATCTGACAAAAGATTGTGTAAGACCTGTACATAGCAGGATATAATAAAATCCTGCTGAAGAAAGTAAAGAAGAATTAAATAAATGGAGAGAAATACCATATTCATGGGTCAGAAGTCTCAAGTACTGTAAGATATCAATACATACAATTCCAATCAAACTAACCCCCAGAAGGCTTTTTTTTTAATTGGCAAACTGATTTAAAAATTCTTATGGAGGGGCGCCTGGTTGGTTCAGTCGGTTGAGCATCCGACTTCTACTCAGGTCATGATCTCACAGTTCATGAGTTTGAGCCCTGCATTGGTCTCTGTGCTAACAGCTCAGCCTGGAGCCTGCTAAGGATTCTGTGTCTCCCTCTCTCTCTGCCCCTCCCCCACTTGCTCTCTGTCTCAAAAATAAACTTTAAAAAAAAAAAAGGATATAGGGCACCTGGGTTGTTCACTTGGTGTCCAACTTCTGCTCAGGTCATGATCTTATGATTCGTGAGTTCAAGCCCTGTATCGGGCTCTGCACTACCAGTGCAGCTTGGGGTGCTCTCGCTCTCTCTCTCTCTCTCTCTCTCTCCCTCTCCCTCTCCCTCTGCCCCTCTCCCACGCTCACTCATGCACTCTGTCTCAAATAAACTTTAAAAAAATTTTTTTAAGAAGATTATAAAGCTAAAGTAACCTAATCAGTATGGTGTTGACATAAAGATAGATAAACTGCACGGAAAAGAGAGCCCAGAAATACACCCACCCGTATATGTACAGCCCATTTTTGACAGAGGTACAAAGATAATTTCATGAAGAAAGGATGGTTTTTTCAACAAATGGTGCATAAAAATTACTTCAGTCCTTGCCTTGCATCATATACAAAAAATTAACTCAAAATGAATCCTGCATTTAAATATGAGAGCTAAAGCTACAAAACTTCTAGAAGTTAAAGATTTCTCAGCCATGATCTCAAAAGCATGATTCTTAAGTGAAAACCATTGATGAACTGCACTTCATCTAAATTAAACATTTTTGTTCTTTGAAAGACACTGAAGAGAAGGTAAAAAACAAGCCACAAACTGGCAGAAAATATTTGTGAATCATGCATCTGACAAAGGTCTTTTATCTAGGAAGAACTCACCAAACTTAATAAGAAAACAACAACCCAATTCTTAAAAGGTGGGGAGAAGATTTCAAAGAAGATACACAGATGGCAAATAAGCATATGGAAAGATGCTCAACATCCTTAGTCATTAGGGAAATGCAGATTAAAACCACAGTGAGAAACCACTCCAAGCCCACTAGGTTGGCTAAAATTGTACAATTTAAAAGACTAATAATACCAAGAGTTGCTAAGGATAAGGAGCAGCTGGATTCTCATACACCGGTGGTGGTAGGAGTGTAAAATAGCAGAACTATTTTAGGAAACAATTTGTAAATGTCTTTTAAAAAATCAAATGTATGATCCAGCTCTTCCATTAGCTATTATTTCTAATAGCCACCCTAAAAAAAATAGAAACAACATAAATATCCATCACAGGGCAAATGGATGAACAAATTGTGGCGTGATCATTCAGTGGAATACTGCACAGGAAAAAAAAAAAGCAACAGT